ATATGAAACAATTTCATAACCACATATGAAACAACTTCATAAAAAAAATTATATGAAACAATTTCACAAGATTAACAATTTCATGAAAAAATTTCATAATATTAACGACAGATGAGAGTAGTTTTTACGGTTTTTACAAATTGGAATGGTTTTTATTTGATCGCTCCTCTATATATATATATATATATATATATAGGGTTGGTTCACGTGAGACCAACTTGTTTTCGTGAGACCCGTGAGACAACATTTTTACACTTGAAACTTCACAACAAAATGTTGTGAAGGTAAAAAAAATCATAACTTTCACAGCAAAAACACTGTGAAGGTTACCTTCACAGTGTTTTGCTATGAAGTTTCAAGTGTAAAAATGTTGTTACACAAAAACAAATTTGTCTCACATGATCCCAAGTCTCTCTCTCTCTCTCTCTCTATATATATATATATATATATATAATTACCTTCACAATGTTTTGTTGTGAAGTTTGAAATGTAAATATATTGTCTCACGAAAACAAACTTGTCTCACATGATCCCAAATTTATATATATATATAAAGAGAGAGAGAGAGGTGAGTTATTATAACAACTAATACAACTCAATCTCAACCGTCCATTTAATTTGATTAATATGTGATTTAATAAAAGTTTTGATTGTTTCCTAATATAAAGTATTGATCATAATTAATGAACTCTATTCATCTTCCATAAACATTCAAATCATAATGAATGAACTCTCATCATTTCCATAAATATCTTAATTTATTGGGTTGCATTGGTTGTACAAATGCAATAGGTTGTATTTGAAACAAACTCTCTCTCTCTCTCTCTCTCTATATATATATATATATATATATATATATATTATATACCGAGGGGAAACGGTACAATTGGATAAAACCTACGTCCTTAATTCTATTTCTCATGAATCTCATTGTCATTTATTGTGTGTGCTTATACCAGCACTAATACACCAAACCTTATCAAAACTTACAACTAAGCATGTTGAACGAGAATATTACTAGGATGAGTGACCTCATACATTCAAACAATATATATATATATATATATATATATATATATTCCGTAAAGATAATGACTCATTCGTTCCCAACGTAGCATTATCAATATGCAGTTGATTTAATTTTTTGATCGAAGTTGAAATTGCGTTAATTGCATATCTCAAATTGATCAAAACCGAAAAAATAAAAATAAAATGAGGCTGATTAAAACCTACATCCTCGTTCATATACTCTTATTTCATGAATTACATTGTCATTTGTTAGATTTAATTATACCTGCACTAATACACCGAATCCCATCAAAAATAAGAAGAATTTACATTATGCAACAATTTATCCGGTAAGCGTTTACCAAGTAAGAGTCATCACTCTCACTTACCGAGGAAGACTCTCAGTCCTTGTCATCGTCCTTTCTAGGTAAGATTCTCCATCTTTGTTATGTTCATCGAATAAGGTAAAGTGACCCGATAAAAACTTAGGGCTTGTACGTTAGCAGCTTAATGGGACTAACGGCTTATTCAGTCAACTATAAATTATTATTTGGTAGTGGCTTAATGATATAGAAAATGGCTTATTCAATAAGCTTCTAGGGGAGTTTTATGCAGAAAGCCAAGTTTTTTTCCAAACCGGTCACTTCCAATTAAAGAACACACTTCTTCCATCTATGAAAAACCCCTCCCAAACCAAAAATTCTCAATCTATACAGATAGATTAATACACACGAAAAACTCTATCCAACCAACCAAACAGCCCCTTACCAAGTAAGGGTTTAGTAAAGCGGCCCTTAATTGCATATCTCAAATAGATCTATACCAGAAAGGGAAAAAAAACATGACACAACTAAAACAAACATCTTCGTTCATTTACTCTTTTTGTGAATTTGATCGTCATTTATTGGGTGTGATTATACCAACACTAATGCATCAAATTCCATCAGAACTTATAGTTAAACATGCTTGAACGAGAATAGTAGTAGAAGGACTGACCTCTTGTGACGTTGCACCCCTTATGATGCATGGAGGGGCCACCAACTTCTAAATGCTTATCCAAAAGGAAAACATAGCTTTAGTTTGAAGGTTAACACCTACATGCAAGTAAGGTACTTGATCCAATTTTGTAACTTTGAAATATTCCATATATCTTTCCAATCATTATATATTGCCTGCATATCGCGTAATCAGAAAACCACACATCAAAAACTTACGTCTTATCTCTCTTCATCTTTCCGAGTTTCGAGCCGAAACCGTTCGACAAAATGCAGCAGCAGCAGCAACAGCAACAGAAACTGGTTAAGAAGGAACGGCGAATGTTCAGCTCGTCTGACGATAGTTCAATGATGAAGCAAGTCGTGGCTACCCATTCCCCCGATGGTCGTGAAGTTGATTTGGAACCTATTCTTAATGTCGTTGAAGAAACACTCCGTCTTGCCATTCCTGCAAATATAGATGGTGTCATCAATGTATGTACAATGGTTCTATTCGTATAATGCGTTTTGTTTTATGGATGCTTATCATGTATTTGTTACACTCCTACTACCTGTTTGCTCACATTCTTGCACAAGCCGGAGGTCTCAAAGGCGGCCACAATTTTTTCTTCAAATGGTGGCACTATTTGACCACAAAAAGGAAATGATATAATATTTTTACCGAAATCATGATGGTTCAGTTGGTTAATTGCCTGTATTTCCAAGGAAAAGGCTCGGGTTCGATTCCTTGCATATTTGCCTAATTGCCTTGGTCCAAATTTATTTTTAAAGCAAAACCATTAAAAGCTAAAAAATAGGTCCGCTCCTGCCCCCTGGGAGGTCTTCCTTGTAGTAGAGGTTACGTCTGCATACACCTCACCTCCATACCTACTTCGAGTGGGAGTTATTGGGTCCGTTTGGTTTGGTTTACCATGTATTGGTTAATTTGTTATTGCAGGGCACACATAACGGGCATATCGGTGCATTGGCTGCGGAAGAGAAAGCTGCTTTCTCAGGTTTTGACGATCTTGATGAACTCGATGGATTGGCTCATGTGATCCATAAGATTTCCTGCGAGGTTAGTATGTAAATGGGCAAAAGGCGTCAAAATGTAACCAAGTTTGCACTGGTTTCTATTTAGTGCAACAAGCATTCAATATTTTCTATTTTGTACATAATTTACCTGATACATGGGTACATGTGGTGTTTTTACACGTAATGGAGAATTATAATACAACTTAGACTACTTTGTACCCATGTCATCAATAGTTAGAAATCAAAATTGGTACAAAATAAGAAGAATTGAATGTTTGCTACACTAAGGGCCTGTTTGTTAGCATCTTAATAAGCTTAATGGGACTTGTTACTTATTCAGTCAGCTATACATGACTATTTGGTAGTGACTTGATGATATAGAAAGTGGCTTATTCAGTAAGCTTCAGGAGTTTTACGCGGAAAACCAATTTTTTTTCCAAACTTGTCCTCCCAACTAAAAAAAGACACTTCTTCTATCTACGGAAAACCGCTCCCAAACAAAAACCTTTACAATATATACACACAGATTAATCCACACACATAGCTTTATCCATACATGACTTAATGGAAAACCAACCAAACAGCCCCTAACTGAGAAAAATATGCATCGTTACGCTAAAGCAGATCAATGTTAGTATTTATGCACAAAGTGCAACTTACAAAGTGAGCCGTAAGTCTGCAACTGATTGTTAGTTTTGTTGGCAGTTTTCTTGCAAGTGTTCGGGTGGAGCAGACGCTCATGCATCAACTATAGCAATCCTAAACCTGCTTTCAAGCTACACGTGGGAAGCGAAGGTGGTGATATCGTTGGGGGCCTTTGCGGTCAACTTTGGGGAGTTTTGGCTCGTGGCTCAACTATTTGCCACCAATCCACTTGCTAAATCGGTAGCACTGCTTAAACAATTGCCGAACATCATAGAACATTACAAATCCCTAAAACCTCGGTTTGATGCTATTAATAACCTCATTAATGCCATGTTGGTTGTGACCAAATGTATCATCGCATTCAAGAACCTACCGTATCAATATCTCCAAGACGACACACCACCTAAGTCCACGGCATTGGCTCATGTTCCAACTGCCGCTTATTGGTCCATCAAGAGTATGGTGGCTTGCGCCTCTCAGCTAACGAGTCTTTTGGGCATGAATTACGAGTAAGTTTTTTTATTTTCAAGAATTCGTGTACATTCTACCTCTCTAAACCTTACCTCTGTGTGGGATATACTAGGTTTGTTTGGTGTTTTCAATATCAAGAACAAGCCTATTTTCGACTCTACATGACCTAACATATATAAGCTTCACTTCCTTTTTGTCATAAATATGAGCACAATATTATCTGTTACATGCTAAATGCAGGTACATCACTGCTACCTCAGAGGCATGGGAACTTTCGAGCTTGGCTCACAAGGTCCACAACATCCATGAGCATCTTAAAGCACTCTACGTCCTTTGCTGTCAAAACATAGGCAAGTCCTTAACACTCTTTGCAGTTTTAAATGACCCTAAGGGTGCGTTTGGTACACAAGATAGAATAGGATAGAACAGAACAAAAACTTATCCCATGTTTGGCACAACATTAGACTGGGACTTGACGAGACAGAGTGGGACAAAAATGCAGTTTTTCCCCCACCACCAAAATAGGTGGAACAAAAATCAAAGAGATGGGGCAAGATAAGTAAATTACCAAACTACCCATTTCAAACTAAAACCTTAAAACCTTCCACAACTCTTTCATCCGCTTACCTCACACTATCTCGTCCTGTCCCGTCCAATCTTGTCCAGTCCTGTCCGTGTACAAAACGTGCCATAAAAGAACTTAGCGAAAGAGATAATATTCATACATGATATTGCTGCAGAGGAGAAGCAACATGACGAGTATTTTCTCATGCTCGTGCGAATCTTTGAAGTGTCTCACTTAGATAACTTGAAAATTATCAAGGCTTTGCTCTGTGCCAAGGATGACATTCATCCACTTTCCCATGGCTCGTCCAAAACAAGGGTTAATTCCTGAATTTCTTTAACTTTTTGGGATTTTGAATTTACTTTTCATTAGCTAAACAACTTATTTAATTCCTCTATCATGATTAAAACAGGTTAATGTGGACATCCTAAGGAAAAAGACGGTGTTGCTGCTCATATCTGACCTTGAAATCTCCCATGAAGAGATTCTAGTTCTCACTCAAATATACAAAGAATCGAGAACATACCCGCAGATTCAGTATGAGGTTGTGTGGGTCCCAGTTGTTGACCTGATGACATGGAATGATGCACATCAACACAAGCTCGAGCAGCTTCAATCAATGATGACCTGGCATATGCTGCATCATCCTACATTGCTAGAACCAGCAGTCGTCAAGTACATCAAACAAGTGTGGCACTTTGAAAAGAAGCCGATTCTAGTAGTGTTAGATCCACAGGGCAGAGTAACATCACCAAATGCACTCCATATGGTCTGGATCTGGCAAAATGTTGCCTACCCTTTCACTAGTATCAAAGAGGAAGCACTATGGAAGGAAGAAACTTGGAAACTTGAGTTATTGGTCGACAGCATTGATCGACATATTTTACGATGGGTAAATTAAGAACTTAGTAATAGGTTTACTCGAATTTTAATGAGCAAAAACTACATTCACTAACTTATTCTAAATAATGTATATTGCTAGATTGCTGAAGAGAAATACATATGCTTGTATGGAGGAGATGACCTAGATTGGATCAGAAGATTTACAAAGTTAGCCAGAGATATTACCACAACTGCAGGAATCCAATTGGAGATGGTTTATGTGGGAAAGAGTGGAACCAAGGAGAGAATAAGGAAAATAAGTGCAACGGTCAGTGAGGAGAAACTAAGCCACACTTGGCCGGATCCCACTTCTGTGTGGTACTTTTGGACCCGGCTTGAGAGCATGTTGTACTCCAAAATTCAACATGGGAAAAGTTTTGAAAACGACCCCATTATGAAGGAAGTGATGACCATGATGAGCTTTGATGGGAGTGATCAAGGGTGGGCATTGATATGCAGGGGATCAAGTGAGATGACACGGGCAAAGGCGGATTTGGCATTGACGAGCTTAACTCAGTATGAGAATTGGGAAGGAGATGCACAAGAGATTGGTTTTGTCCCTGCCCTAAAAGCTTACTTGGCAAAATTGCATACACCACAACATTGCAACCGACTAATACTTCCCGGGATCAGTGGTGGGATTCCCGAGGTGGTGGTATGTTCGGAATGTGGTCGAACGATGGAGAAATTCTTCATGTTTCGTTGTTGTACTGATTGAGAGAAGTGATCATTGTGCTTTAATTGATTCTGAAATGATGATTGTTAGCTGTTTAAGTTATTAGGACCAGTAAGGAGGTGCTGTTAGATGTGTGATTCTGGTTTGTAATTCTGAAATAAGTAACCATCAGTGTGTTATTCTTTGTTATACTTGCAATATACAAGAGTGACAGCTTGATTTTCATTTCATTAGTTCATAAAACCAGCCTTAAATTGAGCCTGGCAAAGTGGCAATAGCTATTAGCCTACCCTTTACCACTAGGCACTAGATCATAAGAGCATTGTAAAGAATATACGAGATTGACACATAAGGCTATGAAGGGAGAGGAAGATATCCAAAAAAAAATATGCTCGTACTTGGAAATTAGTAGTTTCATTTTATTAAATAGAAAACATGACCAAGCAGGTAAATCAAGATTTGAACAACTTTGCTAATAGGAACATTATGAAAAGAAATCACTTCTTACCAACTAAAGATGCAATGACTAAAAACCAAACGAACCTAGTAAATCCACTCGAAAGTAGGGTGTGATGTACGCAAACCTGACCTCCACCCCAAAGAGTAGAGCAGTTGTTTCTGTGAAACCCTCGGCATGTGCATTGTGCAATATTGTGAGCAAACAGGTAGCAGAAGTAAGGATGCAATGACAAGAGATCAGAAGATACTACAAAGATTTTTCATTGTTTCTCTGATTGATGTAATTCATATATAGCTTTGGCTGAACTGATTAATAGTAAATAGTAATTAAACAAGTTTGCATTCATCAATTATGAGAAAAACCAATACTACAGTGATGGTAATGTCTAATTCTTCTACCTCCTGAGGTACCTTAGAAATCTAACAATAATTGAGGAAGTATCCTTTCCAGATGTGTTGCTTCAATCTTGTTTCCTCCTTCAGCTTCAGCAATAGTAGCCGCTCTTTGGACTGCTTCTGCATTGACAAAAAAACATTTTCACAATTTACATGGGAAGTATGCATCCAATCTGGGAACCAACTGCACGTAGGCAGTTTCCTTTATACTAATAGTCGCTACAATCAAGATGGATTAACCTGTGACAAAGAGTCGAAGTAGTTCACAACTCAGCTTCACAGCATTTGAATTGGCTGTCCCAAGAGAAGAACGTTATTACAAATCACAGAAATTAAACAAAAATTAGAAAAACTGACAAAAGCAAATGTAGAAACCCTTACAAGGGAAAAACCAACAAGTGGATAAGAATCCACTATGAGATATATCTTCAAATGTATAGAGAAAAAAATTCCTATAACCTAGAACTAGCACAGAGCAACTTTTGCTTGAAACGATCAGAACGATAAAACTGATACTCATTTTTGTATCGAACTCAAGGTCATGTCAAAAGCTAACCAAGAGAATGCATTAATTTGCCTTGCCATGAACTATTAAATTTATAGCTGAAGAGTGTTAATTAATCAAGCATAAACCAAGAGCCAGCACAAGTAGATTATCAGTACAATCAAATTAGAACTTGAAAATATTCCTTACCAGAAGTAGGCCTGTTTTTCTTCGATGTTCCTGCTCGTTCCTGCATCGCAAAATCGTAATGGTCAAGAAACAGAACTAATTTATGCAAATCCAGACATATACAAAAAGAAAACACACAGAATCCATTGTTCATGCAAAGTTGAAGTGATATGCACTGATACATTACAATTTTTCACACAAATCAGGCACTAAAATCGCACAGATAATGTTCTCGAGAACTGAAGTTACACTAATTAAACGTGTTTACCTCCGCTTTGGAAGTCTCGCCATCTTCATTCTTCTCCCGCTCTGAAACGGAAATGAATATAGTTCAGTAAATTCAAAATTCCACCAGAAAAATAACAAATTAAGAATAAAATCTCAATCTGAAGCAGATTGATTAAGAATTACACCATTGTAAGAAACATCTAACCTATCGTCTTCTTGCTCCAAACCATTTTGAATATTGCGTAAATCAAATCCTGTTAATTTCAAAGATCAAAACAAAACTTCACACATACTTTCAAGTATAGAAACGAAAAGAACAAGTTAGGGTTCTACCTGATCAAAACTGTTCTCCATGGTGCAACAATGAAGGATCAACGATGTTGATCGAACGCAAATCCACTGAATTTTAACCCAAAAAACGAAGATTATGACATAAGTAATGGCTATTTTCGATCATAACATCAAGGGGTGGTGGCGCAGTTGGCTAGCGCGTAGGTCTCATAGCTTCTGAGTTATCCTGAGGTCGAGAGTTCGAGCCTCTCTCACCCCAATTCTTTTTCCTTTTTTACCCCCTTGGTGTTACATAGAATAACAAAATGACCCCCGACTTTATAAAACTATCGCAAAACAACCCCTAATGTTACATACGTATAGAATTTATGCCCAACATTACGGAAGTTTTCACACACGCACCACCTACCTGCTTCTTAGACGTACGATTACATTGGAACATTCTAGAGTATGACGCCATTTTTTTACAGAATTGTTGTCTAAGAAATATATATCAGTACTATGTGTCTCTAGTGGGAATGTGGCATTGAGATATATCAGTATTATGGATGTCAAATATAATTTAAGTTAAGAAGCTCGTTAACCAAACGTTAATCGGCCAAGTATTTATCGGGTTACTTATCTTATTGGGTAAGCATAGCAAGGACTGAGAATTTAATCTGATAAAGAGGCAAGGCAACAATCGAGAGTCTTACCCAGTAAGTAATAGTGGCGACTCTTATCTCATAAGCGATTATCGAGTGATTGATATTTACCAACAATCTATTTTGATGACTGAACATGTTAATAAGGGAACTGATACTAGTAACTATTGTTTGTTAGCACTTGGCCGGTTAAACGACCCTTAAATACCAGAATGTTTACTGTTCCATAAATAATAGTATATAAACTCACAGTCAACCACGTGAATTAAGCAATACAAAAGTATAGCGTGAACAGTATAAAGAACATGTGAGATAATAGTAGAAAACAAAAAACATAGGATAATTTTTGATCCAACAAGTGGTCCAGATGACGTACATGATGGTTTTTTTGCCATTAAACTTTCTGATTTTACTGGTTACAATATTAAAAGAATCAAACATATGATTGGAACTGATACTGATTTTATATGGAAGGATATCAAGATAAAGAGTGAAAACATAAATAACAAAACCCTGAAATTATTTTGTTGCATAATTAAAAAAAATAACATATGACTTCTACTGAATGAGTTCTCGCCAAACTGTATCAATGGTAAGATAGATAACCAAGGAGTTGTTTGTTTATCTCTTAATAGTTTCATTAAAAGGCAATCTCTGAATCGTTAAAAGGTGAATCTTGTTTGACAATAAAAAGTCTGTCTTTCAATGGTTCTAAAACCTTCTGAATGGTTTTATATCATGGGTCTCCTTTAACCATTTAGCGCTCTAATTTCATTGTAAATAATTACCAAATAATTATATTTCATTTTACACTATATCTGAGAGTCTCTTAATCATTTTGCACCAAAGCATTCAGCAACTGTCAAACTACCCCTAACATTGTCATCAAGAAACAATGTTCTAGAAGGGTCCGGCAAAGCGAGGAGATCAAACAACTTAACACTGTATCGTTGAAGTGGAGATCAGATAGATATTCAAGTAGCTTCATAAACAGTTCATGTAGTGTCTAAATCATGATTATTTCCATATTATCTTAAACATATATTAATTAAATTTTGATACAATTATTTTCCTAAAGGACAAGATTTATCGTCCAATTAATGCAGATATTGATAACATCGATAATAAATGATAACACACAGTTCAATAACCAGTTGTTGATAATGGCTTTTGGGTACGCTTTGTATTCGCAGACGACCTTATATAAGAAGTTATATAGCCATACAGGACGAAAATGAAGATAAAGCTTGATATATCAGTCTTCTATATTAAGAGGTACTAATTGAACCGACCAATAGATGTAAAAAAACTAAAAGAATGTTCATCCTTTATTTTACACTTAAATTTATCTGGTTTTTCTCATTTGGTACTGGTACCTCATATAAGATTTTGGTACAACAGTCACATTTATTGTTTGGCCAAACCGACAGTTAGGTCAAACTAATGACATGTTTTAAGCTGTTAAGCCATGTTGCTCCACCGAGTTTACAATTTCTTTTAATTCCCTGATATGATATAATGTGATGTCTTTTGTTTGCAGGGGACATACTTTTAATAGGCGATAACTTATGAAAACGAAACATATCTAATACAGCTTTTAAGCACTTGTTTAGTCATTTAATCAGTATTATTGATGTGGTTATCTCGAGACCATCGTGTGTCTCATACAACATTTGCACAGCTTGTTTATTTCTAATGTTGGTAAGATCCCTTGTTTAATTAAAATTTCATAAATAGTTTAATGAAAATCAGTATTATTTTGAAAAATCATGAGCATGATAATAACTAGACGAATGTATTTCAGTTCTATAAATAAAAATAAATTTTATTTTAAACAAAATATATTACAATCTTTTTCTTTGATATGCCTTTTTCATAAATATAGAAAAGTTGTTTTTAAAAATATTTTTCTCAAAATAAGAATCAGAACAAAATACATTTTAAGGACAAATTGCATGAAAAAATAACGTATTTTAACTTGGTTCATATTTTAGGTAATGTATTTTTAAAACTTTCATTTTGGTACCTAAGATATAAAGTTTTAAACATTTAAGTACTTGGGTAATTGGTTGAAGCATTAACCGGTTACCATGCTGATGTGGCGAGTGATGTGATATTCAACCCAATATTATTTGCTATTCAACCCAATTTCATCTCATCATTCGTCACATCAGCATGGTAACCAGTTAATATTTCCACCAGTTACCCAAGTAATTAAATATTTAAAACTTTACATTTTAGGCACCAAAATAGAGAGTTTTGAAAATGCATTACCAAAAATAAACACGAAGTTAAAATACGTTACTTTTTTTCAATGCAATTTTACCCTTTATTTAACGACCCATAAAATCACATTTCTAAAGGTGAATCTTCCATGACCCATAGTTTATAAACTCAAACCATTCATCAGTTGAAATACAACGATTAAAGCTATAAAATGTTGGTTTCACGTGAAACTTCATACGAAAATGTTGTAAAGATAAAAAACGAAAAAGCCGAACCTTCACAGCAAAAACACTGTGAAGTTTCAAGTGTAAAAACATTGTCTCACGTGTTTCACGAAAACAACACTGTCTCACATGATCCCAAGTCAAGTTATAAATAGATACATAATATTAAGGCTCTGTTTGTTTTTACCTAAAAAGCACTTAATACCCTCTTATGTCTGAATCGGTCAGACCTTAGGGTATTAAGTGTGTTTGTTTTTTTTTTCCAATTAAGAGCTTAAAAGCTCTGATTATGTCTGAATTATTTAGAGGTAACATTTTCACTTAAAACCTCTTAATTGCTTTTAGAGCTTCCAATGCTTGCAAAGAAAGCCTAGATTTCAATGATTCAGATTTCAGACGTAAAAACAAACAGTCTGACTGATTCAGATTTCAGACTTCAGCACCACCTCTTAAAATTCAGAAGTGAATTCAGACTTCAGACTTAAGCACCTCTTAAAAAACAAATGCCACCTAAGTGTAATTCTAAACGTCAAGTATCGTTATAACCTGTAACAACATTTCATCTGATTTTCAAAATCTTATCAGTTTAACCTTTTACAATCAGATATAACAAATATCAAAAAGTCGATTATTAATAATTCAAATTCTAATTATTAGATTTGCAAGATGTAGAAAGAATAACCTCCATTGATTTTGATTGTGAGTGAGAATGATGGATGGCCCAAGCAAAACCTAGTTGTGGGATATGTTTGCCACATGCTATCATGTTGTGTGTCAATTATTTCTTAATACAATGAGTTTGACAAATGTTTGGTTTTTATTATCCCACTTGCATATGTCCTTTTTTTTATATGTGTTTATTGTTATATTTATAAAATCACATATTCATCAAACTAAACGGACGTGTTAGTCGTTGGTTATTAGTGGCATTCCTGAAAACGTGGTGTCCTCCGTTTTCTTAAACGGTTTTGCAACTGAATTTTACTCTCTATTTCCTTCTCTATGTGTGCGTGCGTGTGTGTGTGTGTGTATATATATATATATATATGTGTGTGTGTGTGTGTGTGTGTGTATGGTTGGGCTTTGGTGAGAGTTTGACCTTTTTTGTGAGAATCGTGAGAACATCTACAAAGTCATTAATCTATTTTGATCTGAAGCAAACACGTACACACGTGTAAAAGTATACGGGGTTTTTGAATCGGGTTAAACTAGTTTTGGAGGGTAGATAAAAGATTGAATTAGGTGGGTGAGGGAGGATCGAAGCGCGATTGAAGGGAAAGGGATAAATTGGTGGCAGTAGGAGTGTGCATCAGACGAGTCAGGCGGGTTCAAGTGGGCAAATAAAAAACACGATCGGATTTCGAATATAGAAATCAAGCCATGATTTTTGGGTTTCGGATTGCTTCGGGGTCGGGTTGGTGGGGGTTCGGGTCGAGGTCGGTCAAGTTTAGTTATAATGCAAAAAAAACATACATTCAACCGAATTTCATGATAAATTCAATCGATTTAGAGCATTGATAAATCGATAATATTATTAGAAGTTAGAAAATAGCACGACCGACTAGGATTTTTAGAACTCTCAAATAAATTTAGATAAATAAATATATTTATATAATATTTAAAATATATATGTATATATACTTCGAGTTTTTGGACAGACCAGGTGGCCAAAAACCAAACCCAACCTGAACCCAAATTCTCCCCTAAAAGTCGATTTTCGGGTTTCTGGGCATTCGGGTTCTGCATAAACATATTATTTTCGGTTCAGGCTCGGGATTGAACTCGGATTTCAGACCATTTGATCTTTGCACACCCCTAGATGGCAGCGAGGTTTCTCTCTGTATGTGTGAAATCACTTATTTATTACTATAATGTATTACGGTTTCATCAGAGCCGTGTTTATCAGAGATTAGGGCTTTACCAACGGTGGAGGGAGGTAAGAGATACATTTTCAAATTTAGAGAAAGAAAACAAGTAAAAGACTGAAATGCCCTCACGTGAGGTACACATGGTGCACTTAACAGTCTTTTTGTCAATGGTATCTGAGCAAACGAGCTTCAAAGTAAAATACGAAATACA